AGATCTGGCCTGGTAGACAAAATCCTAGGACCCTGCAGTACTGGAAGCCCAAGCCAGTGGTTTAGTTTTCTTCACATCTTGGAAAATGGAGCATCTTATTTTTAACCTTTAAACAGAGGAGTGAGTAGCTGTGATGGACCAAGATAATGGTGAATAAAGGAGCCTCTGCAAAGCTCTAGGCAGGAATTGTGTCCACTCTGCAGAGCAGCTGGGCCCCAAGTCAGTTAGGAGTGCCTGCAGTTAGGAGCCAGAGCCTCAGGGCAGTTCAGATCCCTTGTCTTGGGACATCCCTTACTCAGTCTCCTGCTCACATCAGTCAGTGATGTTGGGAACAAATATATTGTTTGATCCAAATCCCCAAACTCCTCTGCCTCAAGCAAGGTTTTTCAGGGGAGCCTCCATAGTCTCTATACTGCATCTTGTCACTGCTAAAGTGCAGTAGTTCCCAATTTCTCAGGCAAAACCCTGACCCCTACGCTTTCTGGGGCTTACGCCTTACCTGTTCAGGAGGGCATTAAACTTAGACCCTTGTTTACCCAAAAATCTCCCCTTACCGAGTTTTCCTTGAGTATAAACTTTCTCCTTGCAATTCTTGCTTTGTCCATCAGCAGTGAACATCTAACTGTGTCAGCTTAACTACAGCCTGGCTTCAGGTCAGGAGGATTTCTTTCTATAGTGGAATCCTAAGTAACTGACCATAGTTGCATTAGGAAGGGACAGAATGGATAGATATCCGTTTAAACACTAGCATCCGTAGAACATTTTCTGTACAGGAAAGGTACATGTAGCAATGATCATTGAGCAAATGATTTTAAACCTCTAATAGGTACTAAGCACTGTGGTAGGTGCTGTTCAATTGTGAACAGCCCCTACTCTCACAAAATTTATGGTGGACTTATAGACAAGGAAATCAGCAAGTACAGTGTGATGTGTGCCGTGACAGAGGACGCACAGGTACTATGGGATCACATGGGTGGGAGAACAAAGTCAGACTTGGATAAGGGGGTAGTGTCAGGGAAGGCTTCCAGAAGAGGTGACGTCTAAGCAGAGATCTAAAGGGAGAGTAGTAGGTTGCCAGGAAGTAAAGGGAGGAAAGCAGTTGAGTATAGCTGGCGTAGGAGCAAAAGACTTCTAAGAAATTAAGGAAAGGAAGGTGGAAAAGTGCTTAGGGCATGACCGTGCAGAGCCTTATGAGCTATGGTAAGCAGGAGACCTTTCTCCTAATGAAAATGGAAAAGTCACTGAAGGGGATTAAGGAGGTGAGAAGTATCATCAGATTTCCACTTCAGAACATGCATTCATGCTGCTATGAGAACAAATTTAAGCAAGGAAGGGAGGATGTATGGACAGTGTCCAGGAGGTTACTGTGGAGATCAGGCAAGAGATGGGGAACGAGAGTGGGCCATGAACCAGGATTACAAAAGTGGGGCCAGAAAGGGGAGGACAGGTTCAGGACAAAGAAACAAACTTGCAGGATGTAGAATCATCACTCACCATGAAGAAAGGAGATAGGAGAGTCAGGGCTTGTGACTGGTAGATTCTTACTAAGCAGGGTGAGGGTCAGCAGAGCAGAGGCAGGTTGGTGGGAAGAAATGCTATCTCGCAAGGGAGCTAGCAAGACATCTGAGTGGGGGTGTCCCATAGGCAGTTAGCTATGTGTGTCCAAGCTCAGAGGACAAATCTGGGCTACAGCTTGGAGTCTGGGAATCAACACATAAACTAGTAATAAAGCTAAGAGAGGGGATAAGATGACCTGGACAGAATGGGTAGGTAGAGAAGAAGGTGACTCAGAGCCCAGCCCAGAGGAAAACCACAGTGTCCAAGTTGCGTAATAAATGTCGTGCATCAGCTGCAAAGTCGGCACTGCCTAATCTTCATGACCCTGAAATTCAGGTCTGTCTCTACAAGACTCTCCCTCAGATTCCCACACTCAACCTCACCCCAACATGGGTCCCCCATAGGACATGCTTCTCCATGTTGACTCATCAGACACTGGCTTGAGCTCGGAAGCTCCAGGCTAGTGATTAAATGTGTCCCTTATATATCTCCTACTACAAATTGCAAATCACGTAAGATAAGTACATAAGCGTACAAGGATGTACTTCTGCATCAGGGACCCACAGACTTAGGTGTACATAAACATCCCTGCACATAAACGCACCCACACACCCTACAGTCTGGATTAGGTCATTTATGTCTACTCAAATGGAACATTAGAAGTGACTTTGAACTACAGGTTTTCCCCTAAAAAAACAAAAACAAACAAACAAACAAACAAAAAACACTGGCCTAATAAGCAGTTACAACAGGAGGAAAAAGAATAAAACGTTTGTAGAGATTCTTCTTTATGTCTTATTCCATGATCAAATTTAATACTCATGGCTAACCTGTAAAATGGGTTTTAGAATCCCAAAGGGATGAAGACCAAAATGTTCTCCTGTGCCTCCATGGGACAATAGCTTTTATTCTGGAGAAGGGAGAGTAGGAAAAGATTCTAACAGAATCTTTGGCATATGAATGATATACAGGTTGACTTCCTTTATTCATTTAAGAAATATTCATCACTGTCCTACTATGTACCTGGAGGCAAGAGTCGACCAAATGCACGTAAATATAGAGCATTCCTTAATTAGGATCCTGTTTACACTCATGATGGGCTGTAATCATTTTTGTGGGACTGTCTGATTGAGCCTCCTTAGAGAAGGGCTGTCATAGCTGCTTGTCAGAGAGAGATGAAGTCCTTGAATTGAAGGCTTCTGTGGGAATTACAGTCTTCCATTTTCCAGAAAGGCCACCGCTGTTCTTTACTTCAGCTAACAAGAGATTACCTTTCACAACTGAGCTACAAATGGGGGCCTAATTGATGAATTTGCTAATAGCCTTCCCTTTATAGTGGCATTAGCCTAGTTGGGTCTTAGCTGTACCTCCCTCGGGTGAGGCCTCACACACGGTGATATATTCTGCTAGATTTATGGCTAAGAGGACAGGGAGTTTAACTCAGTAATTAAACATCCAATTTGCCACATGAGCCTAGGAAATATCTCCATCCTCCCTCTTCCTTTTGCCTGTGCCTCAGTTTCTCTCAGTGGGAACAGGGCGGGGGGGGAGTTATCAATCCACCCAGTAACCAACAGGTAGGAGTTTCTCTCTTCTTAGCCGCAAGGCTTGTGAAGGGCACAGAGAAGTCTGTGATAATGGGCCTTCCCTCAAAAGGTCTGCAATCAAGCATGATTGAGACTCTCACATCCCCCATTTCTCTCACATTGTTAGGGACCCAGTGAGGTTTCCATTTCATTCTTAAGATGTTGCCAAACACCTGCTTCCTAGAGCTTGGAGTGGGGTAGGCCAGGCTGTGGGTCCCTCTTGTAACTGAAGCACTTCACTTGAGGACTAGTGGCCCCTGGGAGGGGGCTGCTAAAGAGCCTTGTCTTCAGTTGTCTTCATGGCTCTGGCAGGCTGACCTGAAAATGAATTGGTGATTCAATGATTGTATGACCTGAATCAAAGACGCCCTCCCCTGGCCACTGTGCTCCTTCCAGCTCTACTGAAACTGGTTCCCTGACATCGGTGGTAAAGACCCTTTATTCATCCACTCCCCCTTTGGGATGGCACTAGATAAGCCCAGATTACAAATAACAGCTAATCTTTCTTGAGCATTTACCATGGGCCAGACGCATGCTTTTCGTGAAATAACCCATTTAATCCTCATAATAACTCAATGGGATAAAGTGCTATTACCATATCATAGATGATGGGCCAAGGCACAGACGATGATGGTAACTTGCGCAGCAGGCTGATAAGCTGAGATCCGACCCCGGGCGTGCCAGTCCCAAGGGCTGCACACTTCCTGTCACACAGAACTGCCTCAGGGGAGAAGTCAGTGGCCCACATGATTTAATTGTTTGGAAGGCACCAAGAAAATCCTTATCCCTCCTGCCCTCCAGAATTACCCCTCAAATAAGCTGGTAATGGGCTCACAACTCTACCCCCAAAATAATTCCTCTGGCAACGACAAAGCAAATCTCCTGGGAGGATGAGGGGATCTAATACATGGAGCCTGCTACTGACAGGCTCCAATTAGCTATAGTCCCTTTCTCCTGCATGGAAGTATATCACTTCCTTCCCAGATTCCCAAAACCTTCAGTGGGTGGGAGCTGGTGTAGGGCAAAGACGAGAATAAGCTTGAGGTTGGTGATGTGGATAAAAAAAGGAGAGAGGCCTGAGTCAACAGCAGAGCACATTCCAAGCCTGAGAATACCCCAACTCAGCTACTTTCTGGCTCTACAACTGACCACCGCGGATTCCCATTTCTTCAACTGCAAAATAGAAGTAGAAGGAGTTGCATTGTAATCTTGTTGTGTAAATCAAATACGGTGATGCTTACAAAGTACTTAACACTGTCCAATGCACAGTACAGACATTAAGATGGCAGCTCTTGTTTTAATTATTGCTACTGCACAAGGAAGGAAGGCTTGATAAAGACACTGAGAAGTCCATGGGCAAGGTGGACCGCTGAGTGAGCGGGAGGAAAGAGACTTGAAGGAGGGAGACTACCTTCATCGACTTTGCAACTACTCTGAGGCCTTTATGTATTAATTCAGTCACTTGTCAGCCATTTCAGCTCAGACCTACTGTATGTGGACACTGTGTCAGATGACGTTGTGGGTTGAACCAAGCTGAATCAAGTCCCCCTCCCCCAAAAAGTCCTAACCCCTGTTGCCTAGGAATATGACTTATTTGGAAATAAGCTCTTTGCAGATGTAATCAAGTTCAAATGAGGTCTTACTAGATTAGGGTGGGCTCTGGTCCAGTACGACTGGTGTCCTTTTAAGAAGAAGAAATACAGACACACACACGGGAGAAACCTATGTGAAGATGAAGGCAGAGACTGCAGCAATGTGTCTACAAGCCAAGGAATATTGAACATAGCTGGCAGCAGCTAGGAGCTGGGGAAGGATCAAGAAACAAGCTCCCCCTAAGAGCCTTCAGAAGGAACTGACCCTGTTAGCATCTGGATCTCAGACTTGTGGCCTGCAGAACTGCCAGAGAGTACACCTCTGTTGTTTTAAGACAGCCTGTTTGTGGTTCTTTGTCACAGCAGCCCTAGAAAATAAACATAAGCAATAAAATTACCAAGATACATTTAAAAAACAAAGTTCTTGTTCTGGAATCTTTGCTATTCATTTCACCCCCCAGAAGAGGCTGGATGAGAGTCCAGGTTTAATCCAATGGCCTTGGGTCTGGCTTCCAAAGAGGCATACTTTGTTAAACAAGAGCTTCTCCTCTGGCCCACCAATTAGGACTCCAGGCTGGAGGATAAGGATATCTTACAGGAGAAGGCTGTGTGGAATAAGGATTGTCCCAGCCACAAGTCATATCAGGTCCCTGCCACCCACAGGGCATCGCATTGAGGACTGTGAAAAATGAGGATTGCAGGGTGGTGGTGGCGGCAGAAAAAGAAACCCTGGAAAACGAAAGGTGGGGGTGAAGTCTTGTTTTCAATTTCTTCCAAACCCACCATTCCTCACATCTCCTTTTGATATCTCCATCCTTCCTCTTCATAGTTTAAGTTTCTACTCTGGTCCCTCAGATGCCTTCATAGCCTGGTAGGCTGGAGAAGAGAAAGCACAGGTCTTGGTGGCTAGAAAACTAGAGTTTGAATCCCAGTTCTACCACTCACTATTTGTGGGATGTTAGGTAAGTAACACTAACTGTCTGTGTGTCTGTGCTTTGGCTTTTTCATCTGTCCAATAGGGATAGTATGTAACTCATATATGTTATGTATGTACATCTGACATACATTGTATAATGCATGTGTGTATGTATGTAATGCACAATAGTATACATTGACCAAGATGATATATGCCAAAGCATTTTAAGCATCATGTGAAAAGGAAAGAGATCTCATTATTCACAGTTCCTAGATCTTATGTACAGAAACTCTGGTTTTAGATATCACATATCAGGACATACTACAAAATTAGCACAAAAATATAAAAACAATAAATCAGATGCTATGTTTAAAGGACCAATGCCAGTGTACAAATGCCAACATATAAATAGCTTTGACCTAGGAGTAAACCAGTCTCAACACCAGCACTCAAGATCTCTGTGATACTGGACAAGATTTTCCATCTCGTAGTTTAAATGATTTATGTTTCCATCCAGCTCTAAGTTTCTATGGCTTTATGAAAAAGTGCACATCAAGCTGTTTGCTCTTATAAAATTCCACTTTAAAAAAACTCTTTACTTATGGGTCACCCATTACAAATCTGGGGAAAGCTGTGATGCTTGAGGGAATTCTAACAACAAGTGAGGCAGAAAAGCCATTTGATGTGTGAAATATCCAATGGGCTGGGTAACACTGGAAAGGCAAGTTTCCTTGAACAATCCTCTCCTGGTTATTCATATGAGAAGGCTAATGTCAGAATATCAGAGACTGGGTTGGAATACCTTGGAACAAAAGCCAGTAAAGAGGGTGAGACAGCCCTAATACAGCCCAAAATGCAAAAACAACCGGCCAGCTTTTATCTCCTTTTAGAATAATATGAACAAAGGTGACTCAGATTACACTAGAAGAGATTGAGCCCCACTTAAGGAAGAACTTCCTTCTGAGATACATAAGTTTGGAGAAATCACCTTCTCTAAAACTTTTCTAAAAAAAATTTTTTTTAATGTTCATTTCTTTTTTGAGAGAGAGACAGAGTGACAGAGCATGAGCAGGGGAGAGACAGAGAGAGACACACACAGAATCGGAAGCAGGCTCCAGGCTCTGAGCTGTCAGCACAGAGCCCAACAACGGGGCTTGAACCCATGAACCATGAGATCATGACCTGAGCCAAAGTCGGGTGTTTAACTGACTGAACCACCCAGGCACCCCTAAAACTTTTCAATGAGAGACCCAGCAGCCAACTTTGTGTCCTGGGTGAAGTGTGTGCAGCAGCAGAAGCAAGGACAGAGTGACCCTTTGAGAACTTTTTGCTTGTGTTCTCTCCATGCTTTTTCCCAGTCAGTTCACAATGGCACATAACGCCTGCATTTCACACAACACAATCCGGCTTCCAGTTACCTTGGCAGTTCACATGTTGTCATGCTGCCGACTTTTCCCCTGCTGGCACACTAGACTCCAAGGTGTAAGTACTGTTTTTACAGATGTTTGCATGTTCCACACTGGTATGTGATAATCACTTTGCATTTCAGTTAGCAAAGAGGAAATGAAACCCACTCCTGAATTGGAGACAAGAGTGTTGTGTTTCACCCTCGTTGACAGCCAAAAGCCAATTTAGGACTCTCTGAAAAGCCGGATTTCCCTGGCGGGAGGGGAGCACGGGGCAGGGGTGGGGGGTGGGATATGGGTATCTTCTTAATGCTCCTGAGCTTGCTTAAGGATTGAAATTGGTGTTTGCTGAGGGAGGAAAAATCAATGTGGATTATGGTTTATGGATCACTTCAGCTGGAGAAGCAAGCAAGTGGGAGAGCTCATCCAGTTTGCACTTTTTCAGCAAGACTCCTACAAGCTAGCAGGCTAATAGCATAAACACCTATCCAGAGCTCACCACATTCTAAACCCTTTGCGCAAATTAATTCACTTAATTATCACGACAATTTGATGAGGCCGGAGAGGTTATGCTCAACATAACACATCTACTAAGTTCAGAGCTGGATTTTAAGCCAAGCAGTCTGGTTCCAGAGCTGGCATGGTAAGTTAGCTTTCACACTCTTTGGAAGGAGATGTGAATACAGACCATCCTCAAAGAAGTGGGGCTGGATACTGCTTCCTCTTCTCTTCCTCCTCAATTCCCTGACTTTTGTGCTATGGGACCACACACTTCAGCTGAAAGGAACTTCCCAAGGAGAGGGATCCCTTAGCCACATACAGCATGTCAGAAGTCAGCTCTGTGCTTATATAACACTAACCCCCTTGTCCCATTGCAGGATTTTTCCCAACCCATAATTATTATCACTCCCTGGGTCAGTAAGTCAATAGAACATTTAAAAAAAAAAAAAAACAAAACAGTCTCCAAAATGACTCCTTTGCTAAAACTCTTTTCTCACCCCTAGGGCTCTCCTCTGAGGTGCTAAAACCCCAGTCAGGGAGTCATCACCATAAATAATGCATCAGGCTTTCACTAAGAATCAGTAAAGCAAGGAGCAGCTCAGAAAAGTCCATTATCCCCCCATGGTTCGTAATTGGGCATTGTGATTAATCCATTTATCTGCTATTCAGATGAACACCCCATAGTAAGAGTCAGTAATTACAGAATATTGAATAGGTACATGAATAGCCAAAATGTACCCATGCTTTGAGTTACTGCGGCAACTTGATTCCCAGAATCTTCAGTCATTTTGAGTTTTAAAGGTCCGCAACATTAGCAGAGAGGTGAGAGATAGGAAGCCCAATTTTCAGAATATCCTGAGTGGCTAAAACCCAGAAAGCTCATGAGCTTGCTTGTACATAATCACATGAATCAGCTCACATTCAACAATTTATCAACATTTATTATCTGCTATGTGTCGGGCACAGTGTTAAGAACAGGGTATACCAAAGAAAAGTCCTGAAGAGACAGACATATAAAAAGCCAACCATCTTGTAATAAGAAAAGTGAGATGTGTGTTAAGAACACAGAAGAAGAATGAGTACTCACTCCCCAAGAGGGTGGAGGATCAATGCAGATCTGGGAAGGCTGCCCAGAGGAAATGACCTTTGAGTTGAATCTTGCAGGTTAAGGAAGATTTTTTTTCCAGAGAAGAAGGGAAAAGAGCATCCCAGGCAGAGGGACAAGTATGCACAAAAGTATTCGGGCAGAAAGTGATCTGTACAGAGAATTGCATAGGACAGGCATTAAAGGGCTTTGTGTACTATGCTAGGGGAACTGGACTTTATCTTGTATCCTGTATTCAGTAGGGCAACATGGTAAGATTTTAAAGAGATGTGTGAGCATGAGCAGTTTGGTGCTTTTGAAAACCCACTGAGCGATGATAATGAGGCTGGATTGGAGAAGGAGACCAACAGTTGAGAGGCTACTGCCTTAGTGAGGGCAAAAGTGAAGATGACCTGCCTCAGGCACTGGGAGAGAACCGAAAAGGATAGTGGGATGGAACAGTCTGACTAAAGGCTTTGCAGACATTTCAGAAGGCCATATCAGAAGTTTCTGATGATAGGTGGGGAGCCGAGGTGATGATGCATTTAGTTGAGGAGGAGAAGCCTATCAAGTAGCTGGACAAAGTGTAAATGATACGGATATCGCTTCATGTATGTTATGTTCCAGGGACTGTCACGGTATTTCCTTATATCCTCTGCCTACCCTCCACCATAAGGGAAATCGGCTCAAGTTAAAGGGGACTGAGGCACTCAGTGCCACCCAGAAAGTACTCTGCCCACTAAGCCTGTGCCCCTAGTGTTCCCACTGCCCTAGCTCTGAACTTCATTTATTGAGGGAGGCTTTGCTTACAACGTAAATAGCTTTATTCTTCACTTTTTCCTTCCTGTCTAACAATTCAAATGTCTTTCCCTGTCTTTACCTTGTGAAAAACACCTTCTCCCATCATCCTTGCCTACCCCCAACATTGTATCTCTCCCTTCCAAAGTATCTCTATCCTCCCCATTCCTTACCCACTCCTATTCACACATGACATCTTTTTAGAAGTAGCAAGTGTGGGGCAAAGGGCAGTGAATCAGAAGTGAGGGCAATCTGGAGTGCCTGGATGGCTCAGTTGGTTAAGCATTCGATTTTGGCTCAGGTCATGATGTCCAGATAGTGAGTTCAAGCCCTGTGTTGGGCTCTGTGCTGATAACTCAGAGCCTGGAGCCTGCTTCACTTCCTATGTCTCCCTTTCTCTCTTCCCATTCGCTACTCACACTCTGTCTCTGTCTCTCTGTCTCTCTCTCAAAAATAATAAACATTAAAAAAAAAAAAAGAAGTGAGGACAGTCTGTGTTCCAAGACTGTCCTAGCTGACCAGGTGACTTTCAGAAACTGCTTGATCTCTCAGCCACAGTGTCCTCAGTTATAAAATGGGGATATGAAATGAATACTAACCTTTGCTTACCTCACAGGATTATTATAAGAGGAAAAGAGATAAAGTGCTTGCAAACAACACCAACAGAAAGTAGGAAAAGTGCTACAGAATTATCTGGATTGTTGGGCACTACTGACCACCAGACGGTGAGTTGCTTACGGGCAGGGGCCTGGTTGCCTTCATCTTTCAATCTGGAGTACCTAATTATTTCTAGTACAGAGTCAGTGTTTGATAAACACATTGAATTAACGACAAGGACCACTGCCACCACCACCAACACACACACACACACACACACACACACACACACACACACACACAGGTGTCCTTGCCTCTCTCTCCCACCATAATGCAGGCAAACCCATAATACCTCCGCTTTTGGAACTACTGCTCTAGTCCTGGTGTGTTCCAAAAACAGCAAGTTCCTGGAGGAAAACCAAGTGATTGTCACGCGCCTGGATGCCTCCACTGGGCACGTTTGACCAAGTCTGAATTCCTCCCCTTCTCAAGGGAAGTTGCTAAGAACTGAACCCCAGAATCCCTCTCCTCCAAGGAGCCCCAGCTGGGTCTTTCCTTACCCCCTCCCACCTTTGTGCCAGGCATGCGACGTGTTTTTTTTTTTTTCTTTGCAGGAGCTCAGCCGCCTCTACTGCTGTTTTCATTGATGCCTTGAGCAGACCTGGCATGTGCAACTGCTGAGAAGGGGGGGGGGGGGGGGGAGCGTGGAGCCGCGGGGGAAGCAAGTAAAAATAGCCTGGCGCGCACCGCTCTGCCTGCTCTGGACGCCTTTAACCCTGGCCAAGGTGGGGAGCTCAGCAGCCACTACAGCACACTGCTGAACCTGGCAGGGGTCTGCATCCAGACCCCGTACAACAGCTGGGGTGCGGGGGCTTAGAGACCCGTGAAAACTTTTTTTTTTTTTAGAAACCCAGAGGTGGGGGGAGGGAAGAGCAGGAGAAAGCTGTTTCTTGCTTCTAGCACTCCAGCCACCTGGCTGCAGGGACTGCTATGTGCCCACTGGTCCAACACTTTACAGAAGTGCAGCCTTGACTCGGAGCTATTTTTAGCAACCTCTTCCGCGGGTGGGCGATCAGAGGGAGGAGTGTGAGGGGATTGGGAAGGCTAGCTCTCTGCTGTGAGGCTAGGCGCCTTTGCGGGTGGAGAAGAGGAAGTGTCGAGGGGATAAGCATGCTGGCTTTGCCCTAACTCAAGGAGACAGCGTTAGCTGCTGAATGCCCTACTGCTTTCAAGCCCCTGAGCGCGTTTGTTTTTCGAAATCGACAATTGCCAGATGCATGCTGCTTCTAATCTCTCAGAGAATTGGGATTTTAAAAGCGTTGCTGCCTATTGCTATGGGGTAAAGGTTAGCTGCAGTTAAGACCTTACCGAAGATCGGAAGGGTCTCTGCATCGTTTTGCATTCCAGCAAGACAGAGGGACAATCCCCGTGCCACACCTCCATCCCCGCCTCACGCTGCATATGGGTAACCATATGTGAAATGTACGGCAGCCCCACCAGACACCCGGCTATTAATAGAGCCCGGGAGTTTGCTCTCTGTCTTTTTCCTGCCACCGAGTAAGGGATGATCTTCACACACATACCCCACTCCGCCCCCACCTCGGCGCACCGTTTCTCCAGGAAGGTAAGGGGGCTGCCCACGCTGATCCCCTTCGTGACTACAGGTGCCTAGAGCCTACGGACTAGTCCAGTTGTAACGACAGCAGGGTCACTGCGAGGCCAGGGAACACAGCCTCCAGTCTTGGGACGCAAAACCCAGCAGGGCTCTTTGCGTCTCTGGGCCAACTCGAGAGTAGAGAAAGGGCAGCTATTGGGCTGCCGAAGGCGAGGGGGGCAAGAGCGCAATCTGAAGAGCTAGAGTGGCCTCCTCCAAAGCCGCTGCGGGACGAATGGCTGTAGACCCATTTCTCCCCTGCAGCCCGCGGCGCGCAGCCCCCACCCGGCGCGGGCTTGGCTGCGGCAGGAGCGGGCGCTGTCCCTGGTTCTGAAGGTGGCCGCGACCAGAGCTCCCTCCCCGGGTTTAGCGCCCCAAGGCGGCTCAAACATTCCAGGGTTGCAGACCTCTCTCCGGCCCGGATCTGAGCGGGAGGGTCTGTTGGTGGTGCCCAAGTCCCACCACCCGCTCGGTGTGGCCCCACCGCGGCCCGGAGCTCTCCGCGGTGCTGCGGGGACCGAGAGCTGGGGGGACTGACTTGAGCCTGAAGGGTAAAGCTCAGGCAGCGTCTGGAGATGGTCAAGGCACCGCAGGGAGCCGACCTGGTCCCAGGATCACCCACCCCAGCTTTGCACAAAGCTGGGACTCTGGACCCCTAATGAAGCCCAGAGGAGAGAGCAGGGGAGCGCTGCTGCCCAGGGTTTGGGACTTGGGGAAAGAGAAGCGAGCAGCGGGTGGCAGGAGAGGGAGATGGGGTGAGAGCGATTCTTTTGCATTTTCAAAAGGGAGGGGACCTGAGACATGCACTGGCTTTTCCCCCAACACACATACACACACACACACACACACACACACACACACACACACACGGCCGGCAGAAGCAAGCGGGATGGAGCCGGGGAAAGTTTGGCACTAGGTGCTGAGCAGCGGCGGCGGTGGCGGCGGCGGCAGCGACAGCGGCGGCGGCGCGGTGGTCCGGGGTGAGCTGCCGGGGTCGCCGAGAGCCCCGGCCCTCTCGCCTCCTTACCTCGGTGTTCTCAGCAGCGTTCTCCGCCATTTTCCTCCTTAGGAGCAGGCAGCGGGAGGAGTGTTTCATGCCCATAAGAGCCAGCAAGGGTTTGATGATACAGAGATAGTAGAGAAAGAGAGAGCTGGTGTAGCTTTAAAAGAGAGAGAGAGAGAGAGAGAGAGAGAGAGAGAGAGAATGGGAGGAAAAAAAAAAAAACCAACCCAGCCCCTCTGCTGGAGCGTCAGCCGATACAATCAACTACGGTTGAGTCTTTTCTGCAGTCTCCACTTTGTTTTATTTTCCTCCCGTCTCATCTGCTTCGGATTCCTTCACACAGTTTCAAGTTCTTCTCGCGCACCCGACCCCCTCCCCGCCCCTCTCCACCCGCGCTGCGGGCTAGGCTGGAGGGAGGCAGCCCCGAAGGCTTCGCGGCAGCGGCGGCGTCTCTTCTCCTGGCTGCTCGCAAAGTCCGGCCGGCCGGAGGCAGCCACCAACTCCTCTCAACTTCTGCCGATCGGCTGGGCGAAGCAACACGCTTCCTGCGCGTCTCTCCTAGGGGCTGAGCCGGGTGAGTGGGGGCGGGGTAGGAGGTTCGGTAGAGCGAGCGGCGGCTGGGCGCAAACGGAGGGCCCCCAGCGCCCCCGGGCCCGCCGCCTCCTCCAGGCTCCAGGGGTCTTTTGGCCGCCTCCACCCCCAGGCGCCGCGGACAACTTGCGCGGGGGCAAAGGGCGGCGCGGACGCTGCAAGGCCACGCGGGAGACTCGATGAAAGCAGGCGCCGGAGCTGGGCTCTTGCAGGTTCTTAGACCCGGGTGTATGTCCTCCCACCGAGGACAAGCTCTGGGCAAGATTGGGCCATAGTTACCTCGCCCCCATCCCACCCCACCCCCAACTTCCCAGATCCTCTGTCAATTCTTGGTTCCTTCCTTGGCGAATTATGGTTTCAGGAGCGAAGGGGTGGGTGTCTGGATGAGGGAGGGTCCTTAACTCCTTCAACTCTAAGGCTAAGTGTGCTGTCATCTCTCCTTTTCTCCCACTGTCCCTGTCCAGGCACTTGGGGCTCCAAGCTTCTCTCAGGTTGAGAGGTCGGGCCAAAGGTTCAGCCAGAGGTGGCTCGGAAGAGACCATAGGAGAAAGTCAAATGGCTGAGCCCACAGTCCTGTTCCCCTTACCCTAGTCTTCCCCGGCAGCCCCCTGCCCACACATTTCTCTTCTCCCTCCTCACCCCTCCCCCATGGTCACCAGATTTTGAAGTCCCTTTTATGGGAGAGAGGGAGGATGTCACGTACCCATTAGGATTCTCTTGATCCTTTTTTAAGGGAGTTTGGGCGGCAGCAGGGGGTGTGAATTTTTATACAATGCATTCCTGTCTTCACTTTGAGAGCTTCTTTTTCTCTGTCTTACTGGCCATCTGTCAGGCGGGTGGGAAATAGAACAGGGGGGGCACTCTGTCTCTCCCTTTGCAACAGGCCACTCAGGCTGGACTCCTTCAAAGACAGCTGCACTTTCAAGCTTTCAACCCACAAGTCAAGGACAGGGACCTAAAAGATGCATGCTCCTTGAACACCCTGGCTCTCTTCACTTCATCCCTGTACTTGCATCGGGAGATCAGTTCCGCATGCGTGCCTTATTTGTTTTATCACCTTTGACAGCCAGGAAATGTGAGCCTGGTTGTCCTCAGCTAACCTCAGGGTCCATTGAAGAAATGGACCAGAATCTAAAAATGCCTCCATCACCTGGTCCTAGGGGAAAGAGAAGATGCATTGCAATAATTGGAGGAGGGAGAGGAGGAGGAGGAGTGGAGAGTAAAAAGAGTGAAAAGATAATGGGCAACAGGCTTGAGTTATTGGGCGTGTGTGCATGTGTGTGCATGTTATATGTGTTTGGGAAAGAGCGAATGTAAATGAAAGAATGAGCCTAACTCCTTAACCTTTTTCTTACTCAGACCACAGACCTTGACTAGTATTGGGGGTGAGGAAGCAGAATCTTTGGCAACACCTACTTGGTCATCCTCCTTCCCTTTCACACATGCAGAAAGCTGTAGGGGGGTGAATGAGATGAATCTAAGGAATGACTTTTACCCTCTTGACCCCCATTTTCTCTAAGCAGCTTTCTCAGAAACAACAGATTTGAGACATCTCATCCTCTACGAAGAGGGTCTCAGTACTATTACAATCAATGAAAATCAGAAAAGAAAGGATCCTCACAGCTCTTTGGTCCAGTTCTCTCATTTTACAAATAAGTACCCTGAGATCAGAAAAAGGAGGCCATTTGTCCATGATCCTTCAGCCAGCTGAGGGAGCATCTGAGAGAAGCTCCCCAGCCTCCTGACTTTCAGCTTTACACTTTTCTCCCACCCTGTTTCTGCCTGTGCAGTGCATCCATTCTGTGACTAACCAGGGAGGAGGGGAGCGGAGACAAGCTCCCACCGAAATAGGCTGCTGCCTGTGCGTGATTATGTTGCTATGAGAACCTCAGTGGGTGTGTTTCCTCCGTTCTCTGTTGAAATCTTTTGCTTGGCTTGGCTTCTCCCCAAGCACAGACACAGCTCCCCTTAGAATGAGGAGTGGAGAGGCTGATATGGAGAGCTGCATTCTCCTGGCAAGAGTTTTCTATTCCAACCCATCCAATGCAGGCCCAGCCTGAGGCTGTGAGTGAGAACCATAGGCCACCATGGTAGTTCCACAATGGCTAGAGTGAGTAGTCTTGAAAGCGAATAGTCCAGTCCTCTGTTGAGCCACCTTGGAGCAGAGAGTTGTTCCTGCTGTGTTCCCACCTAATTACAAATTCACAAGCAAAAGAATTGTTACTTTAAGAGACTAAGTTTTGGGATGCCTTGTTACACAGCAAAAGATTACCTGAACACTCATGTCCTAGGGTTGTGAGAATTGATGATGTGTGAAAAGTGCCTAGCACATAGTAGGCATCCCCACTACCCCACCATTCACAGGAATTCAGTCTTTCTCCATCTCTTTTGCATAAGTATGTTAGCACAGCTCTTACAATATTAAAAGAATTCCACAAAGAATTTACTGGATATCTGTTATATGCCTAGCTCATTAATAGGCACTGGGCTTGACAATAGGCAACAAAAGGTATTGGACTGATCATTGAGGAGCTCTCAATTTAGCTACCTTGAATGCTTTGAAAGTGTATAGAACTTTCATAGAAGAGATTTTGAAGGGATTTAATGGGAGGCAAGAAGATACATAGGACGACCAGACATACACTAAGAAGTAGGTTAAATATTCTGGAACAAAATGCCCTTCCAGGTAGAGATGTCTTGAGGACACATTTTACTTTACTTATGTCTTTGGTGCAACAAGATGTATTGAAGAGGACATGTGAAGTGCTTAGGATAGTGTCTGGCTCATGGGAAGACCACAAACGTTGTGTTAATGCTTGCTGGGCCCTGTGCTAGGCTCTGAGTCAAACATTACAGAGCACTTATTACATGCCAGAGACTCATCTAGACTTAATGTGTCCTCCTGCAGTTCTTTCAACAACTCTTTTGGGAAAGTACTGTTATTATCCCTCAAAAACAGATGAGAAAACAAAAACACAGAGAATTGTCCAAGTGTTACGTAAAGTCAGGATTCAAATCTAGTATGATTTATTCCATAGCATGACCTTCAAGAGGTTAACCAGATTCTGTGAACAAGACAGTGGTTCTCAAACTTGGCAGCAAGGTGGAGTCATCTGAGCTTTAAAAATACCAGTGCATTTCTTCGACCCCCAGAGAGTATGATTTAGTGAGGCCTGGGCGTCAGAATTTTTTTAATTCTCTAGCTGATTCTATTGAGCAGTCATGGTCAAGGACAACTGGATAAGGATATGTGGAAAAGATGAAAGTATCCACAGAGAAAGAAGGTCTCTAAGTTATAGAAAGGGCCCCCCAAAACTATAGGAGCCCCCCCACCACAGTATAGAAAGCTCCATCTCTAACACAGAAGTTCTTGAGAGCCACAAAGTTCTTGAGAGTGAAAATGTGCTGATGGTTTAGCCAGCATACAAAGGTTGGAATAAGACTCTTGGGAAGGGTATAATTGGAAAAGTTATCTGCCTTTGTGAGATGCCACAGAGAAGTGAGTTTCCTGCCACTGGAAAGGGTTCAGTCAGACTATTATTTGGCATAGCTATTGCAGTGGAACTGCAAACCCTAGAAGGTTGAGCAAGGCCTCTGAGGTTCCATCCACTCCATTCTGTGACTCCTGAATGGTCTCCTCTCATTTCTGAGTCCTCTGGGAGGTATAGACTGTGTAGTAGCTCAAGTTCGGGAGGTAGTCAACACTGCCTTGGCTGTTTCCCCAAATCCAGTGCCCCTGCAATCAGGATGCAATTTCTCTGTCTGAGAAAGCCTGGACTCTGGCTCATCCAAATGTGGTTGCTGCAATAAAAGATGTATAAGACATGTCCTGTGTCTTCCCCCCTCTTCCTTCTAGGAGAACCTCACATGTGGCCTGGGCTCACATATGGCCAAGGCACGCTGCAGTGAATCCTTGGCTCCTCAAGAATCGGGCCACAGCCATGATCCATCACTACCTCATGGCAGCTAACCCAGCAGTGTTCCTAATGTCTTCTGGGCCAGATGGGAACCCAGCCAAGGCTGCAGCAGCCAGCTAGCTACCTGGCTGAGCCTCCAGGCAGCCCCATACCTGGGCATCTTTCCTGTACAAAAAGGCCCAATTATTTCTTAAACTACATCTCAAAGAAGGACTTGCAAGCGTGTCCCCAGTACCTGCAAAGTCTGGGTTTCTTTTGTTTTTTCTTTTTCTGTTAAAACCAGAATGTTATTTCTTTCTCACTCTGATAATGTCTGAGTAAGTCAGTTCATTGTTGTTTTGTGCTGGATATGAAAACATTTGGTTTGATTATTCTAAAAATATATGAGGGGCACTTTCTTAGTAGTTCTTCATTAATAGCTTAATCCTTGGTGTTTTGTGCCTCTAAAAACTGAATACCATCATTATCTGCCTTTGTCTCAGGGTAAGAAGGACTTAAAAGACATCTAGATTTTCTCAATGGCCTATGATGGACCCCAAACTTCTTCAGAGAAAGGGAAAGACGGAGATAGCAGTAGAACCATAAAGGTACTGAAATATTCCTTCTAAAATGCTATCACAACAGAAATTAGTTTTTTCTTCTTGGCAGAACTTGTACACCCCACTCCTTTCTTCCTTTTCAAATCTTTCATAAAGGCTTACCTTTTTCTGGAAAATCTCTCCTAAATCCTCCAAAGCTAACTAGAAATCAATTCAGTTTATCCAGTGCAATAACTCAATACACCTTCACTTTTTAAATTTTTTTAACTTTTATTTATTTTTGAGACAGAACATGAGCAGGGGAGGGGCAGAGAGAGAGGGAGACACAGAATCCAAAGCAGGCTCCAGGCTCTGAGCTGTCAGCGCAGAGCCCAATGCGGGGCTTGAACCCACAGACCAGAGATCATGACCTGAGCTGAAGTTGGACACCTAACCAACTGAGCCACCCAGGCACTCCTGAATACACTTTCACTTCCATTAGCCCTTATATTAAGTATTATGACCCAAACACTGTGCTAGGCATGCTAGACTAGAAGATTAGATGACATATCCCTACCCCGATGACACATCTTCCAGGAAGAGTTGGTTATGGATTCAGGTCCTATCAGGGGTCATATGGATTGGTTCTAATAGGTTAGATATGACTATAATCAATGGTTTATAGTTACATAGGTCTTGCAATAAAAGAATCTATTGATATGGACAGGGAGACCCTCAAGGCTATAGGGTCTGGACAAGAAGCATAGTAGCCTCCATTCAAGGAAGGCTGGGAACACATTTTCTACCAAGATTCCAAAGTTTCTGTGTGTTTCTGAAACTTTTATGGATAAGAAATGTTCAGCCTTGCCTCCCTGCCAGGCACATTATATATATATACATTGATGTCACTTAGATCATAACATATTATGACCTGCCCTAGAGCAGGTCTGATCTCTGGTGTCTCAGGTATAGATAGCCCTACCTGAAAATGCACAGTGAGTGGAGATGGTTAAACAAAACTGTGCTTGATTCCGTCGGTTTCATTTCTGGACCATTTAACCACCCTGATCTCTTTCTTCTCTTCCCAGAAGAAAAATCATGGGCTTTGTGGTCTTACAGACCAGTAGGTTAACCTCTCCATCTGTGTAAAAATGGCTTAATGGTGATCTCTCTCTGGCAGAAAAGTTGTGACAATAAAATGAGACAATGCAGATGAAACACCTAGCATAGTTCTCAGGAAATAGTGTTCTAATGAAAGTCAGTTTCTTTCCCAGCATCTCATCATATAAGACCATGTCTACCTACATGAGATAGACACATGGTGTGATGTGGAGAGTGTCACGCAAGGGTCAGCAGAACTGTGCCCTAGTCCCAGCTCCATCATTAAGTAGGATGGTGGCCTTGAGAAAGCCACTTTGCCTCTCTAAGCCCATTTCTTCTTCTTTAAAAGAAGGGATTTCCTTCCCCTTTATGTTTTATCATTTTATCCATGGTACAAATTATGATTCTAACCACACCAAAATCACCACAAAGACTGGTCACACACATCTCAAACCAAAATGCAACTCTCATGGCCAAAACAAAGGCTGAAGAGTAGAACAGCCTCTACCTCCCACTTGTAAGAGAGCTTGAGTAGAAAGTTAATTTCTGTTAATTCCAAGAATTTACAAAGGATACTTGTAGGTAATGCTCATTACTCCAGTACTGGGCTATCATTAGAGCTTTCCAGAGGTCAAAAGGGGTTTCATTTTTTAAAAACAGTCCTGCTTGATTCTAGCAGCCTCAATGACTACAACCAAACAGTCATTATAAATGGTCATCACCACTTCATATCTCCAACACTTGTCAGGGGACAGAGTTCAGTGGGGAAACCAATGAATTTCTTGACAACACAGACTACCTGGATGTAGTCAGCATAACTTCATTGAAGTCTCAATGATCCGTATCAATTTCCAAACAATGCAAATCAGCAGATGATCCAAAAATTGCTTTTCTTCGACTCATTTTATATACTCAGATACACACAAATAGAATTTCTACCTGTCTAATGATTCTTGGTTTCAAAACATATTCAAATTAATGTGCTGTCCCACAGTACACAATAATGGTCAAAGATGATGGTCCAGAAAGCAGCCAGTTGTGTTGCTGGAGAAGCCAGTCACAGTCCTCTTCTTGCCAGAAACAATCCACTCTGTGGCTACTTCACCTGTGAAAGAACAAAAATCAATTATCACACCTAACACACCAGTCTGGGTCATGGATTGTTCAAGTTATTCCACAGAAAAAACTACATAAAGGTTAGGTGACATTTTAAAATCACACTGCAAGAGAAGAGTGACTTCAATTTCTTGGACTATCCGGCTATCCATTTAATTCAAATGCAACTGTGGCTTTCCAGAGGAAAGGGCTTCCCCTCTCCTGGGATGGAAATACTGTTTGCAAAGCTAAGAGCTATTTCCTGTGGATATTGTTCTTCTCCTAGGCCCTCATGGAAGGGAAAAGAAGCCCAGTGACCTCAGAATAGTGACTTCAAGCCAAGTGTCCACTCCAGGCCAGGCACTGTGCTAAGTACCCTACTGAGTTCTCACACCATCCCCAAATGTTAGTTGCATTGTTACCCCTATTTTATAGATCAGGAAAGGACATCTCAGAAAGGTTAAAGAGCTTACTCAAGTCACAGCCCTGGTAAGGGATTGAACAATGCTCAGAGTCCATGTCTTCCTGACTCCACCAGTGGAAGGAGCACAGACCTCAGAGGCAAACATGCCTGGTTTTCAATCCAGCCATAAACTTCTTATCTGCAAATAAATAAATAAATAAAGTGGACCTGGTAAAACCTACTTCAGGGTTGTTGTAGTGACTGACCCAAAATCGGGCTCATTGTAGACCTCAAAATATGGGCATGATGGTATACAGCACGTGGCCGGATGTTACTGACTTAACTCAGCAAAACTGCATCTGCTGCTATGTTACTCTCAGCCGTAAGTACAAGAATAAAAAGTACACCCCACCTCCAGAGGCCAGAGTATCTGTCAACCTGGCAATGGCTCTAGACAGGGTAACTCCATCTAAATGGCAGCTATCAACCTGTATTCTTGCTGCAGTTCTTACTGTCACATCCGCTTAGTAACTGCCCTAAGTGGTGTCATTCTGGGTGGCATACCATATTTGCAGGTATAGGGGATGTTGATTTTTTTTTTAACTTCTGGAAAACTCAGCCACGGCAGTGGGCAAATCTGCCACATAACTATGTTAGGACTTAGTTAATGCATCCTGAGTGAACGTGGGATTAATCGCAGGAAGGAAGGAAAGATCCGGCACTTTAGCAGGTGGATGGTGGATTAAGAAGGAAGAGAATGATATCAAAACAACTTTGTATATGTGCTCTGACTCTCTTCCAGCCAGCAAAGATGGCCTTTTCTTTTTTTGAAAGAAAAATTATATATATATATGTGCGTGTGTGTGTGTGTGTGTGTGTGTGTAATTTTTTTTTTTCCTTTTGGTCCATAAACCCTGGGTCCATAAGGCCCTGGAAGGTTCAGGTTATGCCTTCTGGGAGGCTCTGAATAAATCATGCCTGCTTCCTTGTGCCTCATTTTTTCTCTAGTTAATACAAGATTGGGCTTCCTCCTTCTTCCTGCTGGTTGGGTAATGGAGTCCCTGACATTGTTTTTCTTGCTGCTCTTTCCCAGACTGAGTTTGGAACAAATTTTCTGGTCCTATAGAATCATGACCTAAATTTGGGTGGATAAGAAAGAGGGAAATTTGACCAGTGAGCTATTGGACTTTTCTCTAACCAGGGCCAAGGGCTCCTTTCCCTGGTCGTGGGATCAGAGTTTATTTTTGTCTATTGGCATCTCAGGCAGGATTCAAATGATGTAAGAGGAACTCCAGTATAACCAAGCCACTCTAGCCCATCACACTAAATAACAATTACTCAAGCTTCCCATTCTTGACCTCTCTTTTTAATTTTTTAAATGTTTGTTTTTGAGAGAGAGAGAGAGACAGAGAGAGAGGGCGTGAGCGCAAGCCATGGGAGGGGCAGAGAGAGAGGAAGACACAGAATCCGAAGCAGGTTCCAGGCTCAGCTGTCAGCACAGAGCCCAACGCAGGGCTCGAACACACAGACGATGAGATAATGGCCTGAGCTGAAGTTGGACACTTAACCGACTGAGCCACCCAGGTGCTCCTCTTGGCCCCTCTTTTGACAGAGACTCTCCTTACCACCCTCTCCCTTTATGAAGATCCTCCCAAGGGTTTCTAGGAGACCCGTAGGACCACATCACATGTACTCACACTGAGTCTCTCCCCCCCCCTCCTCCTCCTCCTCCTCTTCCTTCTTCATCTCTGGCTTCCCATAGCCAATGTCCAATGACTTTGAGGTTGCTTTTAGGAGCCTTGCCATTGCCCAAGTTGACAACGTCCCTCATGAGGATGCTGATAGCTGTACCAAGGCTGGTCTTCCAGCACTTTCAGCAAATTCCGGATGTCATGAGAAGCAAGAGCAGACCCGGTGATCCCCCAAGCTCATTCCTTGCACTCCAAATCCCTTCAAGGCTCTTAGAGAAGCAGCCCCTTCTACTTCTGGTACAAATTCTTCCATTGTTCTGCAAGGGCACAAAGCCCAGTGTCAGGGTGGAATGCCGATGACACACCATCCTTTCTGTTGCTCAGTTTCTTCCTCCCCTGTATTCCACACACAAGATAGTAGTACAAACTCCCCCATTCTTCAGCCATAAACAGAAGTGCCTATGATGGTCAACTCATGCAAATGAAGCCTTTGGGGAGGAGCAGGGACCTGGTTCCAACCAAGCCTGGATACCCACTACACAGAATGCAGTAGACTGAGCATCTTCTGATGGGAGATGGGTGTGGGCAGCACTGTCTTTTCCATTGGGCTGCCAAGCATTTGTTCATGCCTTGTCAAGGAAATTTCTCACCAGCGTGTCATTCTTATATATTTAGTTGGATGGGTAGATAGTAACATTTATGAAATGTCTACAACAGGGTGGACCCATTCTCACATCAGCCCCAACTTTGTCCTCCTATTTCAATGAATTCCAAACTCTCTCTGCCCCAGCTTCCCCTCCATCATACCACCACACCGTTGGTTATTAACACTCTTGGGGAAACAGCCCTTGCAGTTTATTAGCTATCAGCTGTTGGTGGCCTTCCAGAGGTATTTACATTGCAAGAGGAGACTCTGGAAGTCTACCTCCAAGTTACAAAAGAATGAATCTCTAATGGTGGAAGGTCAAGCATCAGTGACAGACTGGTCAGAACGGGATTTGTGGAAGGTCATCCTGCCCTCTTTAAAATCATTACACTCATTTCATTCTTCCACCCGCCACTAAGTTGTGGCCTGGCCTACAGGCTGCAGAGAAAGCATGGAGTTCCTTGGTGGGGGAAGGGGGAGAGATAAAGCACTGAACTTGAATCAGGAGACAAATTCTAGCTCCAATTCTGTCACAAGTTGCTGAAGACCCTGGGTTGGGGAGGTGTCAAGATAGGGACCCCTGAGCAAAAGGAGAGGGTGACTATCCCTGCCCTCACAACTGTTTGTAGTTCTGGTTTCCATCTCTTCCTCTGTAATGTGAGGAGTCTGGACAAGCTGAATTTGTGGGTCACTTTCAACTCTTTCAGCCTATTATTATGAACCTTGTGGCTGGCATTCAGTGTAGAGATGCTGTTCCCAAGAAAAAGTATTTAGGGAAGCTTGTGTTTCAAGGGCTCAGGCACTTGGGCCCTAAGAATGAATACCCAACCCTACCTGTCTTCATAGTTGTTTTTCTTTAGAAAAAAAAAAAGATAAGTTTTAAATATCACCTTGGGGAGTTCAAATGCTCATGGTCTCCTGGTAGGAATCATTTGTTTAAAAAAATTATGTCCAAGCTAGACTTGCAGAGAAGTTCTGTCTATAGCTAGAAGTTTATGGGAAAACATGTGAGCCAGGGTTATCCAGGCACATGGAAGGGGCAGGCTGGTGAAATGCATCTGTAGACTGGGACTCCAGGCTCTGTGCAAGGCAGCCATAGGCAGCTGCCTGTTCCTCCACCACCTTCCCCATCACACTTCTTACCCTCTGCCCCTGCTATCAGTTTTCTCCGGTTCCATTCAGATGCTTTTAAGTGGCATATAGTGCCTGAAGCATGAATAAAAACATCTGAGGGTCTAACCTGACACAAATATAACATATAAAAACTCTCCACAGCATGTTCAAGAATCAAGAAATCTTTTCTTTTTTTCCCCTAGGCAAGGATGCCATGAGGTCATGTGCACTCAAAGCTCTTTGAGGGATGGGAAGAACTCTCAGGCTGGTCCTTTCCCCAAGTCCAGTGGGTCTTCAGGGGAGTGACTTAACCTTTCTTGGCAAACAGCAAGTGAAATGCAGGAAAGCCTTCCCAAGAGATGCTAAAGTAGCTGCTTCTTTAGGGGTTATTTTTTTCTCAGCAGAGAAGAGAGTTATCTGAAGAAAACAGTTTAAATTCAGTACTTGGGGCGCCTAGGTGGCTCAGTCAGTTAAGCATCTGACTCTTGATTTTGGCTCAGGTTATGATCTCATAGTTCGTGAGTTTGAGCCCCGCATTGGGCTCTGTGCTGACAATGCAGGGCCTGCTTGAGATTCTCTCTCTCTCTCTCCCTCTCTCTGCCCCTCCCCTACTTGCTCTTGCTCTCTCTCATTCTCTCTCTCTCTCTCAAAATCAATAAATAAACTAAAACAATTTTAAAAATTCAGTACTACCTGGAGCCAGGGGACAGGACATGTGGCTTCAAGGGTCCCCTACTAAGTTGTACAATCTAGGACTTTAATAAAAGGATTAAAAAATATTAGCCAGGTTCCTAGGGCTCTTCTGAAGACAGGTGATTGAGCGTGGCTGCTTCTCAGCCTCCCTCCAATCTTGAGAGTCAGGGAGAAACTGGACAAAGGCCCATGTGAGTGGATTAGGCTCCACAGAGGGCCAGGCCCGATCTCGAATGGGAGAAGCTGCCAGAGAAACACAAACTCACATCAGGAACATGAGCCCCGTTTGGTTTTCTCAAACGTAATTATACAAAGGATAGAAATTTGAGGGGGAAAAATTACTTTAATAACATGAATTTTTAAACACCTTCCAAATCCTCCTCTGTGGAGAAGGTCCAGACCACTTCCCAGTCAGAATCTGTTGTGCCTTGGCTTGAATTCGGCTGACCCGTGAGACAGCCCCATATGCCCCTCTCATGCCCACAAGGAGGCTTCCTGAAGCAGCACTTTGTGGATTCACCTGGGCTTCTGGTACCTACAGCCTCCTACAGTTATTTTTCCTTTTCCTTCCCAAGGTTGTAAGGCCCCTCTCCTATCTGGTCTTCCCCCTCCATCCAGGAGAGCTGGCAGTTTCACAAACTGCCAGGTCACTGGGCAGAGTTCCCAGAGGCCCAGGCCATGCTTCCCTCTACTCAGTTGGGCATACACCTGATGTTCTGAGTGATTTAAGCCTGACATTGTACTGCTTCCAATCAAACAAAGTCACAGAGACGTGTTTACTGGAATCTAGAGCATCAATCGGGGAGAGAATTAGTTTCCCCACCCTCATCCTTCTGAACACTTAATGGGATGGCTTTGAGAAGTAAGAGACAGAAAACATTTAATGGGATGAAGGCAAGACCCTAGCCATAGGTCTTCAGGCTTCAGAGACAAAAGCAAGGACTTGGATCAGGATTGAGAGGAGATTGCCAACATGTCCTGCCCATTCCACACTTTAATACAGTGAACCTACACAGGCAGCGCAGCTCATACCTTCTGGATGGGGAGTTGTTTCTA